TTTCTACTTACCCGTGATCGCTTCATTTGCCAAACACGTTAGTGGCCGGTCACCTTACCAATGAAACTAATGTGCTGGTGTCTCCGGCGAAGAATTCCCTCAGGGCTACATGCAATGCACAACCCAGTTTGTAGCCCGTTGTGACTGAAAGCTTTCACACTGGGGAAACGTTGTTGTCACAAACGCAGTCAAAGAATGCGATAGGATTGAGGGAACAGGGGGATTGTCCAAGTTGACTGACTGCATGAGCATATGTTTCTATCGCCACCGTGTTTCCTCCACGCAGGCGACAAAGAAAACGATATAGAGACTCCTCGCGCTTGCCAATGCCAAGTTTCTCTAAAACGTCGAAATACGAGACACCCAGCAGCGAAGTGTCGATATTGCCGGAGAGAGCGGCGGGACAACGATCAGCGCAGGATCGCGGCTTCGCCACTCTTATGCGACGGTGTCTTCGGTTTCCGCTCTCTGCAGCTTCCACCGGGACGCTAGCCGTGCCTAATTGTGCTAGCTTTGAGCACCACAGTTCATAGGGTTCACAGCGCCCGCAAAAGAACCGGCGAGCAGTCGAGTCGTTTCCAATCGACGGGGTGGCTAAACGCCGGTTGTGTGAATCGGGCTTAACGCCTGAGCCGGCTTGCTCAAAGCAAATCTAACGTTCTTGAATGTCATGTAATAAAAATCTGAGACGTGCTACATTCTATACAAACTTGATAAAAAAAAATCAAACACTCACCTTCGGCTGCTACGTCCGCCGTACCGCTTCAAGGCAGAAGCAACATGGCGCTCAACGTTTTGGGGTGTTGGGCTGGGGTTTTTTCAGTGTTGCTTACACGCCTAGTCGTGTAAACCGAAACCGAAACACCAATTTTTACTACCCCAAGTAATTTTTTGACGATTTATCACTAGCAGAGCGTGTAAAAATATGCTAACGAGTGAAAATGGGGTGTAAACAGGCGAAATATTACATTTTCGCTAACAGTGTAGGACACACGCGGCCAGCGTGCCTGTTTCATAAGTCCATAAAAATATCCAGTTTCTGCGTGGCGCAGAAATAAGCTATATTACTGTATTCTTCAAATACCTGCACAGCAATACGGCTTGTACGCAGCTGGAAGCGACTCTATGCACAGTGGCAAGAACACATCCTCTGTCAAAGTGCAACCTCTACGGCGCATCACGAGACTGTATAGACCATGTCACGATAATGTCTTTCTGCAGGTCTAGTCAGTTCGGTCACGCGACAAGACGGTGACGACAATCTGCTTCATCTTACCATGGACCGCAACAGACAACACGAGAGCCATCGAAACCAATCCAGTGCCTTCAGAGTGTCGCGTGACCCTTGGGCGCAGCAACGCGCCGTGTGTGTAGTCCCCCTCACGGTGCTAGGTTGGCTGGGGTGACTCGTAGCGTCCGCAGCCGTCCACCATAATGAAACACAGTAAGCAGAGTCTAAAGTCAAAGGAAATGAGCGGGAGTCACTTGAATGTAAAACATATAACGCAGAAAGCATGCATCGGAACAAAAACCAAGTAAAAGGCGGACTTACACGTAAAAAAATGCAGTGTACACTCTAAAAAAAAAGGTGTCAGAGGAGAGTAAGTGCCCCAACTTACTCTATTTTAACTCTCTCTTCATCAAAGTTACTCTTTTGCGACCACTTCTTTCGATGATACCCTCCCTTAACCCTCACTCGAACTCGAGAGTAACTGTAGCGAGAGTAAGTTTCTCCTCGCGATATCACGGGCTGTCAACAGATGGCGCCGCTATGGGGTCGGCGCTAGAGTTCCTGTATATGCTACGTAGGGAGCCTATACAGGAACTCTAGTCGGCGCTAACGTCCCTGGATATTTTTTCGTTTTTAGAGGTAGAGACAACTTTCCTCCTTTCCATCTACGATTCCTCTTTCCCCCCCAAAATTTTCCCCTCTCCCTCTCTAGCGCCGCCATGGCCCATTCGCTTCCTAACGTCAGACGGTAGGGCCAGGAGGGCGGTTCCGCTGTGTTATGTGATTAGCAGTAGCGTAGTCTTCCTTGTTTTGGTAATTTCCAGCGCGTGAAATTAATTTGGATATCATCGGGTTACTTACGTGAATCGAAGGTAAGCTGTTATTTCCGCAAAAGCACATATATATATCAATATTTTGCCGCAATCCCTATCATACCGCAGCGAGAGCTTTCGCGAGCAATGCTCTCGGCGATGCTAGATATGTGCGCGCCTGCGTTACAGTAAACTATTTATATTTGTAATAAAGACAAATACCTTGTAAAAATTTCGTTCCGTCGTCGATAGAGCCGCATGGTTAAGCTATTGTGAGAGCTCTATTTTGTTTGCAACCATTCTCCCTCGTGGCGAGCGTTGGTAATGCTACGCAAACGTGTGCACGGTGTAGACGCGAACGCGTCTGGAACTCATTATTTTGAGGTGTATCTACATGACTTCAACACGCATTTTGTTATAAGTACTAGTAGCAGTGTTTGGATGGAAAACAAACGTCGTGCAAAGTAGTGACCTTGAAGAGTTTGGACGGTGCGAGATCCAAACAACATTTCGGCTGAAGTTACACCATCGCACGTACTATCCCCACATGCGATAACGGGCAATCTCGTCCTCGAACCTCTACTGCGAAGCCGTGTTTGGTCTCAAATAACTCTGTAAAGGATTCTAGCTGGCAACTTTCGCTGTTTTTGATTGCTGGATTCTTCACTGCACACTGAAGGTGTGCAGTGAAGAAATGTTGCGTACAACTTTTATTATTTTGCCACATTAAACGGTGAATCCAAGACCAATTTTATTAGATCGCGTTCAAGGAATTCGTTATGAACGTGTTTAATGTCTCTGCCTACTTTTTTCTGCCTAGCTTCCACTGTAACATCCACGTAGATATTTTTTTAGACAAAACCCCCGAGACTGGGGGGAAGAAAGGACAACACAACACGAAGCACATGCATTGTGCAGACATTTTTGTTTATTTCAGCTCTTGTCGTGCGATTATATATACTGTATATCTCAAAAGACAAGTGTTGAAACTCATGAGCAGTGCAGTAAAATATAAGTAATGTAATTGGTTTCACACAAATGCAAAGCACATAAATAGTAAATATCGGAAGAGCCCAACTTTCTTGCAATTTAATTAAACTGCCAGATGTTATATGTATGCAGTTTGTGCATTCATGGTAGTGAAGATATGAAGAAAGTGTCTTGGATAAGACAATGCAGATTTTTTTTTATTCAAGATCTTTTTAGGAAGCAATCAATGTTGCAGTCGAACAAGTCATCCCACAGGTGATTAGGAGAATGTGCTTAAAATAAAAGATAACACAAAAAGAAACAGCTACTAGGGTGAGCTAGAGGGGGAGGTGTGCTCATTGCCTACTTCGCTCCGTTTTAGTGATCCAGGATGGAAGTGTAAAGAAGAGCACCTACAGCATCACTTCCAGCCTACTATGCCACAGCAGAAAATGAGCACACCATACCCCTCCAGCCCACTCTACCAGCACTCTTACAATAGAGAAGACACCATGAATGCTTTTCTTGCATGCGATCAAGTCCTCGTCTTTCTCTTCATATAAGTGTGTCCTCCCTTTCTCCTATTAGCACTTCAAAAAGATAAAGATGTCCATGGTGGTTGTGCTTCCTATTTTTGAGTGCCGAGATACTGGATTTCTGGTGTTTATCGGAAAACCAACTACTGTGTCACTGCCAAACAGGGATGGAAGCGCTAAATAAAAATTCTCCGAGCGTTGAAACTGAAAACTCCTCCGAAATCAACGACGTCTCGCGAGTACAATGGCCACTGACGCATTCAGCACGAACCCCAGCAGCCATTTCCGATGATAACAAAAGTGCCAATCCAACCGGCGATGACCACCAACCGACCTGAATGGCGATGATGATAAGAATTTCCAGTGACAGAGAAGTGGCTTTTGCAGCGATTGTGAGGCGAGCCGACAGGGAGACAACACCAGAAAGATGGTTGGCCTTGGTGATCGAGCGAAGTAAAGGACCACATGGACGGATGCCCAATGGTTGGTGGCCAAAAATAACAATCAAGCATAATCGGAAGCATAACCAGAATGTAACGTCGACAACGATGAAAAACAAGCATACCCAGTGCAAAAATTAACAACAGCCTACTGAATCGGGCAGTGGTCAGGTGGCCGAAGAAAGAGAATGGCCGTTGCCAGCGACCATAATAAACAGCCAACTGTACACCAATATAAAGAATCTGCTGGCCAGTAACATTGAGCTGGCCCTTAATCGCCAAACTGACCGAAAGAGAACAAGAAAGGTATACAGTCAGGAAGTAAACTATCAGGTCATCGGGATTGAGCTGGAAAAGAAGGTGAATATTCTAGCAGAGCTGAATGATTTGATCTGCGCTTGCCAGCTGACATATGAGGAGGTGACAAAAGGAAGTTGAACTGGAAGGAGGCCATTAAAATAAAGATCAAGGAGCTTAGTCAACAGCTGTAAATTGTCACCAGTCAAACAGAACAAGGCTCCCTTGAGAGCATTAAAACGAATTTGCAAAGCCAACCAGTACCACTCTAACAACAAGGACCAGTTGAAGAAGCTTGAGGACCAGATCGAAGAGGAAAGGGCAGTTTTTCACAAAAAACCGATCACTGCGGCAAACCGGATTGAGTATCGGAAAACGAACACGCTGTTCGAGCTCAATCGGTCTGCCTTCTGCCGGAAACTTGACGAAGACCAGAAGGAGATGGACGAGAACATTGATGTTGATCAGGCGATTACTTTCTGGCGACGAATCTGGGCAACCGGTGACGAAGAAGGGGAGCACCAGGAATTGATTGACCTATTGGACCCAGGGGAGGTGTACATGACTGGGCGGGGGAGCAGCTGCTTCCAGGAATGAGGGAACCGCACCTGAGTAGCAAGCAAAGAGCACAGCCAGCATCAGTCCTACCGTTCACTTCTACACACGACTGTCATTCATTCAGGAAAATGCCTTACCCTTCGAGGCACTTGTCCCCTGCGGTGTACCTGGCTGGAAGAAGGAGCCTGCTGCCAGAAATGAGGGAACCGCTCCTGAGTAGCGAGCAAAGAGCCCAGCCAGCGTCAGTACTGTTGTTCACTTCTACACACGACTGTCATTCGTTCAGGGAAATGTCCTACCCTTCGAGGCAGTCGTCCCCTGCGGTGTACACGGCTGGATGGAGGAGCCTGCTGCCAGGGATGAGGGAACCGCACCTGAGTAGCGAGCAAAGAGCACAGCCAGCATCAGTCCTGTCGTTCACTTCTACACATGGCTGTCATTCAATCAGGGAAACGTCTCACCCTTTGAGGCAGTCGTCCCCTGCGATGTACATGGCTGGACGGAGGAGCCTGCTGCCAGGAATGAGGGAACCGCTCCTGAGTATCGAACAAAGACAACAGCCAGCGTCAGTCCTGTCGTTCACTTCTAGACACGGCTGTCATTTGTACTTTTATAAGGAATGCTCATAATTGTGGAGGGAGCTGCTCCCTGCAGCATTAATCGAGAATGGGCATAAAGCTCTTATATGTTCTGTGTGTAATTTCATGCAAAAGCAATATTGCACCCTTTGGCATTGACCTACTTTGTTTAAGCACAGAGCACTGACCAAGAGTTCTTATTAGGATGGAGCCTCCGATTTTCGATTTTTGTATCGAGTCTTGCAGTGAACCTGTAAATTTTGTAGGCACAAAATGAAACCCCACAATATGGTGCATGCAGCAGACATTTGTATGGCAGAGTAGTCAATGGTCACAGAAATGCATTTGTTTTGAGAGGGACCAATAAAGACAAAAAGAAAGAAATTGTTGTCGTCCTGCCACCAATAGACCCACCTCACCAAACGTTCGGCGCATGCATGAAGCCGCCATAACTTTAGTTCACAATAGGTAGACGGTGGTGCCCGAAACGGCTTGTGCTGTCTCACGCGCAGAGTTCCAGTGTTTCGGGCACGTGCAGAAAGACTGAAGTTCCCTCAATGCATTGCGACAGCTGTGGCGCGTAGTCAAACTGGCTGGTGAGATCGGTTTATGGCATGAATTCCGTACGCCTCACCCCACTGGTGTTAAGGATAGTTCTGACCTAACAAAGTGCGACACTGTTAATGCAAACAAGGGATGAAAAATGTTCATATCGGGCACAAAGTTGCACCCTATTATTTGGTGCCAGCATTTACTAATTCAAAGTAAAATGCAAAGAGTGCCGCAGTTGTACTCGCACTAACAATGTCATGCAGCATTTGTGTCTGGCCATCATGTTACTCAGGAACTGCAGCATCCGCATTGGACACAAACTCCCAGTCGCAGCTTTGCATCTCGCTGGAGTGGGCGGCTGTGAGTATGGGCAAGGCTCGTGCTGAAGCCGGGAATTTTATCAGCAGGCAGTTAAATTCCACTCACGCTGTTCATTACAGCAGGGACCAGGGGCGGATTTAGAGGGGGGGTTCGGATGTCCTGACCCCCCTCTTGAATTTTGCGTGTGTAAAATTTAGGACGTGAAACGAGGGGGAGGGGGTTCCTAAACGTATGGTACGCTGACCCCCCCCCCCTCTCAAAAAATTCCTGCATCCGCCCCTGGCAGGGACGCATGTATGGTGCAAATCAACACTTACCCAAAGCACAGAAGAGCCTGCTGACATAAATTCCAATACTTTTTTACGATGTCCTCGGTACATACCGCACATATACGCATGGCAGGATAGTCGATTGTTGCAGGAATGCCCCAGAAAGCACATACCACATTTGAGATGGGCAAATACAAGCCGAAAAAGAAGGAACAGAAGAATTAGCCCAGAGTACGCCTGGCACACGGTCGAGTAAAGGATGATTGTGACTGCATATGTCGCTGCGTGTGCCCGGCTACTAAATGCTGGAATTGCGTGTGACTCGCCAACTGGGGGGCCCGCCTGAGGCACAGACTCCTGGTCGCAGTTTTGCACTTTGCTGGATTGTGCCTCTGTGTGCGAGGGCAAGGCTTGTGCTGAAATTGTAAACTTTGTCAGCATGCAGTTCAATGCTACTTGCATTAATTCATCACCTTGGACAAGCATATTCTCAATAATCTGTGAAGGAGGAAATACGACACCTGTGAGAGCAGCAGTTGAATGCAGAGATGGAAGCGTCTGGATGCTGTCTTCCTCCTACATTGGCTCCCCTGCTTAAAATAGGTAGCATTTTAATACCAAATCTAGCAACCAAGTGACTGCAAATTCACCATCTCTGACTGTGTCAACTTACTTTGGATGTTTCCCATTTCCCTTTCTCACAGTGGTCATCGAACTGGCTTTGGCGGCCTATGGCTAAAGTTGCTGTGACAGCGTCTGGTTTAAGTATTTTTGATGCCATGGCTCTGCCAGATCCGAGGTTCAAACTTATCCGGTGAAAAATGGTCCTGTCGAGAATGAACAGGGCTAACTTGCAAATCACGGTACAGTGCACTGAGAACACTAAGAAATTCGACTTTGTTTGGAGGTAGAGAGCGTCACACTGTTAGTACAGAAGAGTGATCGCCGCTTTTTCCTCTATCGGAATAAAAAGTTCGTCATCAAAACTGCTAGCGCGGTGGGAAGGGCTAATTTGGGGCGCTAACCTAAGCGGTAAAATTTTGCGCAAAGCAACACTCCATGGAAGTAAAAGACGTAGAGACACCGATGCTCTGTTCGCGCTAACAGTGCCGCGCATTGTACGCCCTCCACTCGCGCGGACAGTACGAGCTGGAACACCCGATCCAACCTCTTTCTGCGACTCCCACAAGCTCCATTATTCCTCAACTTCGCTTTCTCTTCCTAGTTCGGACCACAGCTCTCTCAAAAACAGGTGGTAAGCCAAAGAAACATGAAAGGCGTTTTCGGCTCATGTTGTCCTCGATAGTAGCTTTTCGTATTTCCTAGAGGTTCACTGCGAGACACTCACAGCTGAAGCGGCCAATCGGCGGCTTCATCTATTCATATCGTGTCCCTTAAAACTCAGACTACGCGAAAAACTTTGCCGGCGAACAACCGGGTTTTCGAGTGAAAAACAACGGGCAAAAACGGCAGAGCACCGAGGCCGCATTTCAGCTGAGACCGAGTTCGGCAGTCAGGCGCGTCAGGAAAAACATTGCATGTGTACCTATGTGAACGTGTGTGGAAGAGGTAACTAGCCCAGAAATGCTCACCTCACAAAGCTTGCTGCTTCTGGTAGAGACGAAGTTTTTCCTCCCAATCATGTGGTGCCATGCCTTCTGCCTCTTCAGATCGGCTTTCCGAAGCGGAATGGCGAACAAATTTTTTCCACTACCAGTACTCTGGCTGCACCCAAAAGCGCAACACCCCGTCATCTAACACAAACGCTTACTACTTTACTTGCCTCATTACGGTTCAGAAACACCAGAACGTCGAGCTAAAGTCGTCGGCGGGTATCACGAAACACGCGAGCGGACGGAGCAGCCGAGCACCTTGGAAGCAAATGGCGGACGGAAGTGGCGAGAATTCCGGAAATCACGTGACATCGCTCTCCTCCAATAGAAACAGATGTCGGCGCGGCAAAGAATGACGGTACTTGTAAAACGCAGTGAAAAAACATCGAGGGACTTTAGTCGGCGCATGTTCGACGCTGCTCGGCGCAGATTATTTTTTTTTTCGTATGTGCTTTCTTTTTTTGTTGGAAGGAAGATGGGCGAGGATGTCTTAATAAGTAAGTTGGTGCCGCCTACCTTTATTTAATTTTGTCAACGCACAATTCAAATGTTTTTCTGCAAAGTAAAAAAAAAAGGTGCGGAATTTACGGGTGATTCTTTGCTGCTCCTTTGTGCATATGCGTCGCCAGCGATATGAGCTCATAGGGACCGCCAAATGGGGCCGCCGATGTCCGCGTCTATGCATCGCCCTCCCGTCGCGGTGAAACGCTTGGGACTTTTCGCTTTAGATTATTATGTTGACTCTATGATCTTGACAGAAAAGCTTCGTACCCTAACTATGGGTTTATGGACTGCACTTCGTGTCAGGTGAAGAACTTTTTTGCGATTGACTAGGTCAAGAAAATATTCTGAAATGTTGTTATACAAAGACGGCTTTATGACTTTACAGCACTACTGCTGTCACAATAAGACGCCGAATGCCTCCGACATGGCGCCAAGGCAGACGACAATGTTGGCTTTGATCTACAGTTTAGCTGGAAGTGACGTCAGCTGCAATAAATCTATACTTAGAAGCGCAGGAAGAAACAAACAATTGAACTGTAAGAAGTAGTAGTGCAAACTCGGAGCGCTACTGGCAACTAAATTTTATTTGGAAAACAAGAACCTTTTTGCACACCAGTGGCGTAGCCAGAGGACGGCGTGGGGGGGGGGGGGGGGGGGGGGGGTGTTCAAGAATTGGAACATTCCCCAAATTTCATGTTGTCCTCTTTACCTCTTCTTTACCGTTTCACAACTTATTACGGCGAGGGGCCGTGCCCACAACATACCAAAGCAAAACGAAGAAAACGACGCTGTCCGTGGACTGGGTGAAAAACACATCTCCGGCTTCGGCTTTTGGAACAGCTAGCTCTCTCCAAACTCGGCCATTTTAGTAACCGAAGCTTTTCTTCAGGCCCGCAGATGCGAAGGGCTCAGCTCCCGACGTCACAAATGCCGCGAAATCCTTACCTCGAAGGACACTGGCCTCGCTTCAAGAATTGCAGCCGGCTTAAGTAAAGTTCCCCCACCCTTTGAGTGTCAAGGACTCGATGACAATTTCAGGGCAGCGCAAGAAAATCTCAAAATAGCAATACTTTGACTTTACGAACCCCACAATGAGGAGGAAACGGGACGACAAAATAGCAAACAGCTTAGCGGTTTTTTTTTTTGTCCCGTTTTTTTTTACGTTTTACTTGCCTGTACTCGTTTAGCTTCAAACAAAAATGCAAAAAAGAACACACACACAAAAACATTCACATCTTTGAAAAAAAAAAACAAGAAAGGAAAGAAACAAGAGAGAAAAGTGACAGCATATGCGCTGTCGAAGGAGCTTTGGAATGCTATTAATCACTTGGTTTCAAAGCGCACCCATACCCATTTTCACCTCAAGAAAAAAGCAAGTTTTGCGCATTGTTCATATGCGGCGCGAAGTAGTTCTAGCGAGATTTGGTTGTCGGAGGAAAAAGCGATGCTTTTGGCGTTTGGAACGTGTATGTGTTGATAAGATAACACGTATCTAGTCTACGATTCACTTACATATATCTTAATTCTCTACATAAAGGGGGGAATCAGTAAAGGGGTGTCCAAACAGGACACTACAAAACCCGCGACTCCGGCAAATCGTGCCGCGCTCTGCCGCGATCCGCTTCCGGCCGTCGGAGGGAAATTTCCCTCCGTCAATCCTTCCCGGGGGGAAACTTCCCTCCGTCAAATCTCCCCCTCGCTTCCTCCACGGCGGCCTTGCTCTGCTCATCACGTGGGTCCGGAGAGCCACCCACACGCTCTGTTGGCTGTCGGTCAATCGCTCAAGGCCTCCGCTCACAATACGGAACCGCGTCGGACGCCATCACGACGAAAGTGAATCTCGACAAAGAAAGCAGATCCGAGGCGGGCGAAACGCACCCTTCGACGCAGGAATGTCCCAAATCCACCCAAAGCCTTCCTTGGCCTTCGAGCCGAGGCGACGGCGGTACGCGAATGCGTTGGCGAGGTGAGACAGACGCAGGTGGCGTGTGACGTCAATCTGAAGAGGAGAGCAGTCGTGATCGTAAAAATTTTCACGACTCCTGCAAACATTTTCACGACTCCGACAGACCGTAAAAATAGAAGCGTCCGCTTCAATTTTCATGATTTGTCGGAGTCCCGGGTTTTGTAGTGTCCTGTTTGGACACCCCTTAATACTGCGCGAAATGCCAGACTTTTTTTACTATGGTTCTTGAGGTGAAAATGGGTATAGTTGACTTGAAGCGAATTATGCGATGAATATCTGACGAACGTCGCCCTACGGCACGC